TTGTGACTTGAGACTTGACGACATTGGATCCAGACTCGACCTTTGGGATTCAGACATTTCGACGAGGGACTATTTGGGCCTGTGCTGAACACTTGATGTTGACGACATTCCCATCGTCCCCTCTTCTTCGTCTAACCCCCATCTCCTTCGTCTGTGTATGGTTGGGGCTGGCGCAGTCTTCCTGTGTGAAGCGCCAGACCCCTTCACACCATGGAATGATGATGATGATGTATGTTTGGGGCTGCATTGCAATATTGATTGTTCGGATCATTGGTATCCAAGTCTTCCGCTGTGCTATTTTATACTTTGTATTGAAAGGTCGGTTCTTGTTCTGGTCTGCACCTATACGGTATGCAACACTGCCTATGTAGGAAACCCTGCTGTAGCTGCACGTCTTAGAGTCGCCAGACTCGTCGAAGAAGGGTTAGTCAGTCTGGCAAAACATCTCCACTTTGGCTACCGTCTTCACCCGAATAGAACACCCGGTCATTATAGCCGGAAGTTCTTACAGGTGACTGTAGTGAATATGGTGAAGGCATAGTCTTACCCCATCAGTAATGGTGGAAGGTCGAGGTTCCAAGGGTTCGGTTGTTCAGTAGGGGACTAAGGCTGAAGGGCCGCCGCCTGGCGGCGCCTATGGTCGCCTCTTCAATCTCTCCGTGTAACGCTACGCGATTTTAGGAAACGTATGGGCCACTGCAGGAGCGCCCTAATTCATCCAACTAGAAACGTTACTCAATTTTTTTCCGCGGCCGATAGCTGGGCCAAGTACTGGTGGTTTAAGAAGAGTCTTAACCTCTTAACCTCTTAACCTCTTAACCTCTTAACCTCTTAACCTACGCAGGGAAGTTGTTTCCATCCTGTGATCAAACAATTTTCTGTGACGGATCGGATAATTTTCTGGTATACTTGTGCGCAAATTTGCAGGTTCAACTTCATTTCAAGGAGGCTCTTTTGGGGCGTCACTGCAGCGCTTACTGCATATCTAGGTAGGTGCTACTTATCATGGTGTGTGCCTCACTGCCTCCTCACATCTAGGAGGCTTTTGAGTTGAGGTCAACTCAAAAGCCACACCCGGTCAATGAGAACTACTCTTTAGTCTACCTTCTTCCGCCGAATACAACGTATGGTCATTATAGCTGTATCTAGACTGAAAGATGCCTCAAATACAGCTATAATGACCGTACGGCGTATGTTGTATTCGGGGGAAGAAGGTAGTCACTCCAGTTTTGTGTTGTACTGCAAGGAAGAACTTGGAACTAAGGCATACAAATGAGGAGGAGGAGTTGCCATGAAGCAGCAACTTTACTGCGATGAGTCGATGACAATCGTATAGAATGCAGAATCTGCAGATGGCTCAAACCCGTGAGTGAGTGAGAATCTGCAGATGGCTCAAACCCTCTGGCACAGTGGTTGCAATGGACAGCAAACCATGGTTGGTCCGGGTGTTAGGCTCATCGTGAGGTGGTATGGATCAGATCCTCAGAATGCAGGTTGCAGCTTGTGTAGATTTCTCCTGCAGAGGAGCGCATGTCTTTTTTTGTGATCGTACTTTTCGTTCGTTGTACTGGTGCTCAGCCTGGCCTGGGCTTGACAAGCTGCTCATGTTGATGATGATGATTGTCGCGGTGTCGTGGTATGTGCCAGTTTTTGTTTTGATTGCTGTTGTCCCTTAAAGTAGTGAGAAGAGGGAGAAAACAGTTTGAAACGACTGCACTGCAGTCATGAAAGTTCAATGAAAGTTCAATGAAAGTTCAATGAAAGTTCAATGAAGTTCAATGAAAGTTCAACTACCTTGGCCGGTCGTGGACCATCTCTGGTCCTCGTTAAGCATTAAAAAAACGAAAGTAAACCGGCCGCGGCTACGCCGTGGCAGGGGAAAGGCGGCGGGTAATTGAAGATGGGAATTTCTTACCCGAAAGGGAATGAAGACGGCAGCAGAGTAGGCGGGAGGGCCCCAGTGCCAGCCCCACCCCAGGCACGGCCATTATCTGGCCCGGGCGACATTGAGGGTGTTTGTTTTAGAACGTGAGGGACGCGCAGCATTCGGGGGGTCGGTCTTTGACAGTGTATATTTCCATGTTGTGGCAGTGGATACTTCCATGTTCTAGGGGAAGATTCAATCCCATTTTGCTCATTTGGTGAAGCGTGGCAATGTCGGTCTGTGTGTGTGTGTGTGTGTGTGTGTGTGTGTGTGTGTGTGTGTAGGATGAGCAAAATCGGAATGAATCTTCAGCCACACTTGTTTCTT